TTGTATAATGAGTTTGGTGTAAAGGAACTTAAGTGGGCTGCACACAGCCCTGACCACAACCCTGCTAAACACCATTGGGATGAATTGGAATGCTGATTACAAGCCAAGTGTCCACAATAATTTGACCATATAGTTTATTTATATCAGGTGTCCCACTGGCTGACATACACATTATTGCTTCTGGTCTGTGACTCTCCAAAAAAGTAATTATTAAGGATGACTTTTGAGAACTTCTTTACATTCTTTTATACTTTATTCGCAAATTTTTTTTATTCTGATCACTTGGAAAACCATCCACCCTCCATCTCTTAATATGTGGAAATGTCAGATTAACACTGTGTTCCCTCTTTATAATTTAACATACAAAAATATGACAAGGTTTGGGGACTGTGGATATCTTCTCCCCACACTATAAATGACTCCTTTTCGTAATGGATTTCATTATGATCTGTTTTGCAAGCACCCCTGGGTGGTATTATTCCCTTTTATACCTTACATATGTGCCAATTCCACACTGTTTGCAACACTGTATGATTTTTTTTATGCTACACGTCTATGAGTTTGCATACCAATTATGTGCAACTTATATTGATACATATTCTCCAAATTGAATATATATCACAATAAAAAATGAGGAAAAGAAAGACAGCTCTGGAGCTTGTCACGACAGGTTCCCATGAAGACCTGCTCTAGATTTTTGTAACTCCATAATGTTTGCCTGTTATCTAGATTAGTCTCCAATATAGGTACTTGTGACAATCTCAGCTGCCATTTGACATCTCAGAATACCACAGAGACGAAACACATTAGCAATCCTGTTGCTTGCAGCAACTCACCGGCAAAAATTATTTGAAAAGCAACTACTAAGCTGCTCTTATGGCACCACACCTAATAATCAAATACAAAATAGATCATTACACCTATAAAGTCTTGTTGGGCATTTCATTCCACAACCAAGCAATAATATGGAGTTGGCCACCTTATGCAGCTTTGACAGCCTCCACACTTCTAAAAAGACTTTCCACAAGATTTCCGCGCATGTCTGTGGGAATTTGTGTCCATCTATCCAAAAGAGCTTTTGTGAGGTCAGGTACTAATGTGAGTTGAAAAGACCTGGCTCACAGTCATCATTACAATTCAATGCCAAAGGTGTTCAGTAAGGTTGAGGTCCTGGCCATTCACGTTCCTCCACACCAAACTAATTAAACCATGTCTTTAGGAACCTGGCTTAGTTCATGGGTGCACAGTCATCCTGGAACAAAAAAAGAGCTTTCCCTAAAATGTTTCCACAAGGTTGTAAGTGTACAATTGTCTAAATTAAGGATACACGGATACCAATACTAGTATTTGTGCCAATACCGAGTATTTGGGTGAGTACTCGTACTCGCCCAAATGCTCCAACATTTACTTCCGATACTAGAACTTCCAGAGGAAATCTCCCTCCATGCCAAACAACATGGAGCCAGCTTCCCGGGCAATCAAGAAGCCGACTGATTGTCCAGGAAGGCGGCTCCATGCTGGCGGAAGTACCGGTATCGGTATTAGGTATTGCCGAGTACTGAAAGAGAAATATCGGTACTCATATTCGATACCAAAGCACCGGTATCGCTGCATCCCTAGTCTAAATTTGTCTTTGTTTGCTTTATCAACAGGACCCTTTACTGGAAACACTGGAATGCAATAGTTTGAAGGGATGTTCACATCATCCTCATACTCTTGGCCATTTACTGTAGAAATGAAGGTCAGGTGTCATAAAACCTGGCCTTCAGAAAAACGTGATGCGTCCCCCCGTAGAGTCGGTATAGTATATCGTCTACCCCTGCTTGAAGACCTCTAAGTACCTACTGAACTTTTGGTCTCCATCTCTCTCTAGATTTATACATTTTCGGTCAAGATCTCAGAACAATTTCCATTCCCGTTCCATTCCCTCGGCACTTTATGCTGATCCACTTTGACAGATAAACCTACAAATTATATATTCTGCCTGCAGCAAGACCTTTAAAAAAAGAAGTCTCGGGGCGCATTGAGGTTGGAGGTTTTCTAGTTAATAAATCAGAAGGATTAGGTATAATTAATTATACACGAGGAACGGTAACATTCTTCTCCTTTAAGAAATGCATTTACTTAAATAATTACCTAAAGAAGCAGCTAACATTAATTTTGCTGAATTTTCCATAATGCATTTTTTATTTTCTCATTCTGGGTCGCTCTAAATGTGAACAGTTGTTTTGTGAATAATTAATGCTTTTATTCTTCAGATTTTAGACAGCTCCGTGTCAGTGTATTTGCCTTTCCTTATTGGTGTTTCCCTCTCTAGAACTTCAGTGGTTGATGTGACTTTGAAGAGCTGGGGTTTGAGGTGCTTTTCTCCTTAAAGGGGGTTGCCTGGAAAACTTAAATCCTCCATTTGTTTAGAAACTCTCCATACAGCAAAAAAATTATTTGCTCTAAGCTCTGGAGAAAGAGACCTTCAACTACAGATTCCCTTGCAGATACATCTGACCAAGCCCAACTCCATCTATGCATTTTTTTGTTTTGGATATGGAGCAGATTGTTTAGAACCCCTATTAAGTTTTATTGTTGCTTCAGAGGAGATTTTTACTCACTTCCTGTTGTATACCAATAAATTATGTTACCTGAATTACTATTTTAAGTTATGAACCGCTATATAATCATTCACACTTACAGGTATAATATTCTAAGGATTCATTCATGAGATTTTTGAGCTCAACACAATAACATAATTTATTGGTATATAGTATCAAGACTTAAATACAATGAACCAACAATCTATTTAACTACAACATACAAAGAAAAGATTTAAACATGCCAAATACCCAGACATTGGTATCTAACAGACAAACAGACATACAGTTAAGTGGTGGAAAGATTATATGTATAGTTACCCATTAAACGTCACATGAGACCACATCCTGGTGAAAAGAGGACGAGCTGTTTTTTCCAGTCATTAATATACCCCTCGTGTCCATAGGGATGCATGACAAGTCTCCCATTGGTTGCCTCCCAAGGCCTACTGGGGATTGGAGGGTTTCCAAGACCCTCTTTACAACTCCACACCCCTCTCTACGATTGGCCAGTCTACTTGTTATTAGATCAAAGGGTCTTGGCTCCTGATACACAGGATACTGAAGTTGCACCTCTATGGTAAATATCTGGACATGCCTGGGCTCAACAATGACTCTATTTGCAATTCATTGGGCCTGGCACTCCCCTCCACAGTGATAAGCACAACAAAGACTTTATTTCCCTACAAGCTATCAACACCTCAGGGGAAATTTTTAAAACAAGAAATAAAACTATATACTGTACATATGTCTTATGAAGATTTGACATAAATTCATACGGTAACACTGTCATGGCAATGGGTATTACAGAGACAGGAAATGAGGGCAACATTTCTCAGTGGTGGGCAACATTTCTCATGTGCCCGCCCCAAGATCCTTTGCGGCCGCCTGAGAAGTTTTCCTGCTTGCTAGCAGTAGATATATGCTAAAACATGCGAGGATTTAATAACCCTTTAAGGAAAATAAACTATATAAATCCTCATTTCATATTAGTATGAATGTCAACTATGACTATGGATTGTGTAATATTTATACACTCAATTTCAAGGAATGTTGCACCGGAGGTATATGAACGTTCGATAGACTAGTTACGCCAAAAAGTACTTGGTCTTACTTTGCATCACCTTTCTTATTACCAAACTGTCACAATTTCTTTATTTAATATGTTGCAAGCACAGCTCCAGAATAGAAAATGGCGCAAATAAGAATTTGTTGAATCTGGCGCAGGAGTTAATAAAGATCCGGAAAATGGTGCAACATGTTTTAGAATTTGATGCAGACATTTCCTAGGCTGCAATAGGGCCAGAATTCAGGTGCAAACGCAATATCAGTAACAGGCGACACAGATAGTAGTGTGGTAAAAGTCCTCAGACAGATGGTTAGAGAAAGCAATATACAGTAGCAGAGTCAACAAACTAATAACCAAATCAGGTGCAGACAAAGAATCCAAGTTTCAGACAGGTAAATGGAACAATGATGGACAATAGCAGATGTAACTGGCCAATGATCAGGATAAACACAGGTATGCTGGCTACAAACACAATCCAAAAATCCAGGCATAGACTTGAAGTTTTAGCTTCCTTTTAAGTCCACAAATGAGGGCAGGTGTGCACAGCAGAAACCTGAGTTTTAATGCTGATGGTTGCAAATTATTATATACATTATATAATTATACGCCAAGAGCGCTAGCTATAGTTCCCAAAACTCTTATATCAATGAGTGGGCCATTGATTGTCACTTTATGATTGGGCTGAGAGGGGACAGAGGTAAACAAGGGAATGGCGGACTCAAGTTACCAGTTTGTACCTGCTCTAAAAAAGATCTGGGATAACCCTTGCACCCAACGGGGTTGTTGTAAAAAGCTTTTTGAAGCAAAGGTATAATCTGGAGAAGTTTCCAACTGATTAAGCAGTGGGGGCAGCAGTCCGGGTCATTGGCCTAGATGCAGCTGCATACTCTGTGGGGATGCCATGTCTAGTAGTATTAATGCTGTATATTATGAATAATTTCTGTCAGATTTTATTGTATGTTAAGTACATTATACAACCTATAATACTTCTTTTAAACATGGTAACACTGTAATATTTATGTAACACCCAAACTTTTTTTTAGTTTTGTATAGAGGGTGAAAGGGCTAGGACACCTGTCAGGTTTTTATTGCTCTCTCTGTCCCTGCTGGAGAGATTCACTATCTCTATTTGTCCTACTGTCACTGGGACTGAAAATGGGAAAGACAATCCAAAATTTTTAGTTTTCACAGCAATAGAGTGAACATCTACCCACAGGGCAGATGGCAAAAAATGACAGGGCTGTAACCCTTTCCTTCTCCATCCAAAAAAAACAGAGTTGTCATTAATTATACTTTAAGATAAATGTACGATTTTACCCATTTACCAATGTGTTTTCTTTTTGTAGTTCCTGCATCATGAAGGAGTTTTGCCTCTGGATATTTGTCCTAACAGTGGGTGTTGCTGCTGCCCAGTTTTGCCCCAAAAGATGCTTGTGCCAGAACCTTGCTCCATCCTTGGCAATTCTCTGTGCCAAAACAGGACTGCTGTTTGTCCCTTCAGTGATAGATCGTCGAACTGTGGAATTGAGGCTCACTGACAACTTCATCACAATAATCCGCAGGAAGGATTTCACCAACATGACCCGATTACTCCACCTTACACTCTCAAGAAACACCATCAGCCACATCACGCCATACACCTTTGCCGATCTGCGAGGACTACGCGCTTTGCACTTGGACAACAACCGTATATTATCGATGGGAGATGAGCAGCTCAAGGGACTAATGAACCTTAGACATCTTATCCTTAGCAACAACCAGCTCAACAACATATCACCAAATTCTTTCCACGATTTTGTGGGTACTTTAGAAGATCTAGACCTTTCCTACAACAACCTGGCTCAAATTCCTTGGCAGACAATATCCAAACTGACCAATGTGAACACGTTAAGCCTTGACCACAATCTTATTGACTATGTTCCTGGAGGAGTCTTTACAAACCTACATAAATTGGCTAGGCTTGACATGACTTCCAACAAATTGAAGACTATTCCCCCAGATCCTTTGTTTCTACGCATTCCTGTCTATGCAAAGTCCAAAGGGTCACCATTGTCATCACTTGTTCTGGGATTTGGAGGGAATCCTTTGCATTGTAATTGCGAGCTTCTATGGCTTCGGAGGGTGACTAGGGAGGATGACCTGGAAACTTGTGCATCACCATCCAACCTTCTAGGAAAATATTTTTGGAGTATATCAGAGGAAGAATTTATGTGTGACCCTCCTGTTGTAACCCACCACTCGCTTCACACAGCAGTTATGGAGGGAGAGGCAGTTGTTCTAAAATGCAAAGCTGTCGGGGACCCCGAGCCTTCCATTCACTGGGTGTCACCTGAGGGCAAAGTTGTTTCAAATTCCTCTAGAGCTGTCTCTTATGAAAACGGTACACTGGAAATTTCAATCACTACCGTAAGAGACACAGGCTTATTCACTTGCATTGCATCCAATACTGCTGGGGATGCAACAGGGTCTGTACAGTTAAACGTAAGTCCCTTACCTCATCCAGCCAATGCAAGTCAAAGAGCACAAAGACCAGATAAGGGGCCTTCTGATATCCTTACACCAGCTAAGCCTGGAGCTTCCAGTAATGATTCTACTGGCCATCCAGAAAGGAAAGTGATCACTGCGGAGCTGAGCCATAACTCTGTCCTCATCCAGTGGTTTTTAGACAGAAACATTCCTGGCATCCGGATGTACCAGGTGCAGTATAACAGCTCCGCAGATGACAGTCTGATTTACAGGTAAGAAACAGGTGCAAAGAAATTCCAAAATAAAGATATGATCCAGAGCTACCTATATGAGTATGCTGTATTAAACATTCATGGAGGATGGTGCCATAGTGAGGTGTTTAAAGGGAAATGCCACTTTAACCATTTCGTGTCCAGAGCAATTTCCAAATTCTAGCACACGCATAATAAAAGAGTTTTTTGCTAGAAAACAGCTTAAAAAGTCCCAAAACTATGAAATATTTCTGAAACCAGAAGCCCTGTAAAATAAAAAAAAGCCAAATGTTTATCAAATCAATACTTTTGGGATAAAATATGCTAAAATGAATTTCAGTGCACACAAGCAGAATATAATACCCACTTTTTGTCAAAATACAAAAAAAGGGTCATAATGGGCAATGAGATACCAAACATGTCAAGCCTTAAAATTGGCCGCACAGTGAAATGGCAAAAAACTACAGTACCCAAAATTTCCCATAGGGGATGGTTTTAAAGCCCTTACCCAGTGGCGTCACAAGGGGTGTGCGGCCTGCAGCCAGGTGACACCATTGGAGGGGGTGAGACCAAAATGACTGACAGTCATTTTGGTCTCACCCCCTCTGAAAAGTCGGGCACTCATTCATTGAGAGCCCGACAGTTTCAGGGGAGAAGAGGGGACCCTCCTCTGTCTGCTGGCATCCATCACCAAGATGGATGCTGGCAGGTATCAATAAGATGGCCGCGCATGCGCAATGACATCGGGGCAGGGTGTCACCTGATCTCCGCTCCGGGTGACACCCGGCCTCGAGACGCCCCTGCCTGACGCCTCTTTGCATTTGTATGTGCATGTACATGGGAGAGGGCTTTAAAATTGTGATAGCACAGATACAGTAACAGGTCCTCTGTATGGAGACATCATGGGTCTATTGGACCCCTAAAGTCACCTATGGACCCCAAAGAAGCTGTTGCAGCACAGATAGAAATTTTATTCAGAAGATGTATACAGTAAAAGTAGTCAAAGCATTTTGGAGGTTCAAAATGTCCCCCTATGAGGGCTAAAAAGAAAAAGTCATAACACATACACAGATCTTCTATAACATTGCTACACATTAAATACATTTTTCAGATCTTTATATATTTTGCAAATTTTAAAAACTCTATGTACTTTTTAAACTCATTTATATAATTAATTTTTATCCCTGATAAAGGGACAACTTTTAAACCAATTGAAATACATTGGCTGTTTTAATGTGTATGACTTCTGAATAAAACGTATTTGTTATGGTGCTTTCCCCCATGAACTTTAAAGTTGTGTTTGTGATATGAGTTTCATCATGGTTCTTGACTCCTGGACAACTGCTTTAAAGAAATTTGCCTATACCAGACGAATAGCTAAAAGTTTCTATTAATACCCAGATTAAGTGCTGCAGCACCCGCTGCTCCTTTTACTTTTACTAAGAATACTGTATAGCATGCAGAGGTAGCAACTAGCATCCAACAAGTACTGTTGCCAAAAGCTAGCCTGTAATATGCCTAAAATACATCTAAACTCTCACTGAGTGGCATTTAGTTTGGTAAGGCATTGCATTGCGTATATTAAAGAGTATCTAAGCCTAAAAACATTTCTCCATTGTCTGATGAGAACAAAGCAAAAGGAGTGGCGCTCCATAATTGATTTATTAAGGATAAAACACACAGCTGAAAAGGTACTTACAAACCAACTGGTATAAACGAGCAGAAAGCGATATAATCTTAGGAGACCATCAAGATGAATACACGAAAATATGGTGAGGGAGAGAAAGTGCTAGTACTAAGCCGGAGCCATCTGCACGCTGACCCTCCTTCAGTTGACGCGTTTCTGAGGACAAACCTCTTTCATCAGGTTCTCCTTCACCCTATTTTCGTGTATTCATCTTGATGGTCTCCTAAGATTATATAGTTTTCTGCTCGTTTATACAAGCTGGTTTGTAAGTACCTTTTCAGCCGTGTGTTTTATTCTTAATAAATCAATTTTACACTATGGAGGCGCTCTTTTTGCTTTGTCCTCATCAAATTTTTGGTTTCCCTTGACTGTGAGGAGCTGCCCCCTGTATATACTTTTGGAAGACGATTGCCAGGAGCAGTTACTATGTTTTGGCGCCTGTGATTTTCACATATCTTTATTTCTCCATTGTATCTATGGTGGCAGCCATGATTCACACAGGCCGCACTTCAATAATATCTGCTTTTGCTCATTTCCATTACATACTGGACTCATGGGACTGATTCATAGGACTGATTCATGGGTGGATTGATGGTCTGAACTGGTTTACTGATTGTGACAAAGGTGAACCATGCCTGCACAATGGATGTTTGTGCGACCACTTGTAATCTCCACTAGGTGCGCATGTGACATGGTGACAATGCAGGGGCACCATTGCAAGACGGTTGTCACCCCATAACGGGAAGCGCCAGTATAAGAATATTTATGCAAGGTCCCCATTTTAATGAAAATTGCATATTTAAAAAGTTTGACATTTCATGATAAGGTTAATATGATATTTTAGTTATTGGGCTTAAATCTAAATCTTAATATCTTTAAAACACACAAATTAAATTCATATATGGGAGCTGTTTTACCTTAAAAAGGATGTGTATTTCTGCCCATCCAGTCCTGAGATTTATGCAGCACAAAGTAGATGATGACACCACTTTCTTTGTTACAATTATAGACTGTAGAATGAATGCAGTTCATCTTCTCTCTAATCCTGCTAACTAAACAAGGAAAGAGGAGCAGTAACAGGTCCTCTTTCCTTGTTTAGACAAATGACATAATTTCCCTTCCAGACTGATGTCTGCTCCTATTATGGTGTTCCTTGTTAAAGCATTTGCATGTAGTACACCTGACTGGCTCCAAGTGCTGTCCCTCCTATACAACAGCAAGAGTACTGCTGCATAGGAAATTGCAGGATGATGATATCAAGCAAATTCAGACACATACACAGGCTTTGTTAAAAAAAAATGTTACATTAGTAATAAATATAGATCTGCATTAATTTGTGTCTTTTATATCCACCTGGAGTACAGTTTCAGGAGTATGCAACCACTAATATGGTGGTTACCAGTTACCAGTGCAGCGCTCACCCCCAAAGGAGCCGCCAGAATAACCCGGGTCATTTCTAGTCTGTCTAGGGGATTTGGTCTTCAGTTGCCCCATTTATCCTCCCTCTTCTAGTGCTCACAGAACTGACATCCAAACCAAAGGTATAATGCTGAACAACTTTTATTATTATTATACAGGATTTATATAGTGCCAATAGTTTGCACAGCGCTTTACAATATAAGGAAGACATTACAGTCACAATACAATTTAAGACAAGATGGTAAGGAGGGCCCTGCCCGTGAGGGCTTACAATCTAAAAGGGAGGGGCAAGTGATACATGAGGAGGTAGCTGTGCGGGGATGATTGTTTGAGAAAAGGTACAATCAATGCCAGATACCTGTAATTAACCAGATAAATGCTACCTATAATTCAGGCAGACTGACTTCAGCTCTGGCAATCACTAAATTACTTGTAGCTACCTCACAAAAGGTGATGGAGGCTACACCCTCTCTGCTAGTACATACCTTTAAAAATTAAACCTGAGGCCTCATCCACCCTTCCCACATCCAGCACATAATTATTGGTTACTATCTTTTTTTTTTGAATGGAGAACCAAAGCAAAGATGAACAGTGGTCCTGGAGTAGGGGAGGACTAAAGTCAACTGGCTGCTTAGCCCTGTATGGAAACCCAATTTTAAAATCATCAATAGAGTTTACATGCAAATCTTGTCTTTTTCCTCTAAAAGTTGAACTTGCCACCCATGAGCTACCCCAGCAACAAGTTCACTTTCAAAAAGCACCCTTTTGTTTCCCTTTCCATTCTCCTGCTTGGAGCTAAGGAAAGCTATATAAGCTACAAGTCACTACAAGCTTACGCCAAGCTATAGACTCCCCAACTGACAGCGCTGATTGGTCCAGAGTGAGTCACATGCTCCTGCACGCCTAGACCTATTGGGTATTTCTTTTGGTTCCTGACCTTCACAGGAGCACCAGGGTAGCAAAGGAATGGCAGCTATATGCTGAGGGTATATCTACGTATAGTTTCCTTAAAAGGGAACTATGGGGTAAGTGTCTTTCACCATAATTCTCTTTAGGGTCACGGGCGGACATATACTAACCTCTTCCCGTGACCGTAAGCTCAGTATACTGCCCGCGATATACTGAGAGCCCCACAGTTGGGACGGATCCCGACAATACTGTCGAGATCCACCCAGCTGCATGAGGGGAATCCCTGCAGTGAGCGGTGACTGACTCTCTGCAAGGAGATGATCAGAAAGTGAGTGAGCGACGGTATGTGTTCGCTCACTTCCCGATCAATAGAGCCGACCTGTGATAGCTTCTTTGTCACAGGTCGGCTCTAACTATGAGGATGAGTGGAGATCACTCACCTCATATTTCTCCTTTAACTTAATAGATCATGTTGTTGCACTTTTGCATTGTCTTAAAATGCATGTTATAAGTGGGCATTCCTCTTTAAGCCCTGGTCTGTGTATGGGTTACTATAGGCCTGTGTGTTCTCATCTGCTGCTTGTTGTGATTTTCCATTGTGCATGTGCTGTTTCCTAATGCATCATCTTTTGCCAAGACAGTTTGCTCAGCTGCGATGACGATTGCTAGTGCCCCTTGGATTATACCGGGTTCATTTTGTTCCTAGAAAGCGGTTACATGTAATTGTCTACTTGTGGTTGGATCATCACATTACCTTTTCTAGCCAATTAGTAACGTTAATATCCTTTTAAAATACGTTTCAGAAAAATGCAGTATAAGTGGAATCTTTCGACCCGACATACACAATATTCTTATAGAGAACCACAGAGACTGGGTTTTAAACTGGGATACAGATGCAATGTAAATGCTTTTTTTTGCTTATATTTAATACACAAGAGGGGATTTCAGATACATTGAAAATATATATAACAGGACCTCTACTGCAGCCTTCTACCAAACAGCAGAA